ACATGGATGATGCAGAAGAGATGAAGTAGAGCAGCAAGTTCACTGTGGGTCAGTGCAAACAAGCTGCTATTCAGAGGAACCTCTGAGCCTTGTCTGTTTTCTCCTCATGGAAACTTCTCATCTGTACTTTTCTCTTACCTTAAGTCTGTGTCCATCTCCACCTGTGACCAACTTCCTAAGGAATCCTATGAAGCTGATGATGGTGGAGAGAACAAGCAAAAGCTTCTAGACAAGCGATCAGGAAGATGCAGCAGCAATCAACCCTGCAAATCCTCTGAAGGGAACTAGAGACAAACTGGGCAGGAAGACTAACAGCAGGTGCTCTGAGTTTAAAGGGGTGTCATCCCATTCTTTCAGCATCACTTGAGCTCCAGGTGAGCTTTTTGTTCTGCTCCAAAGCCCCAAGCAGCTCATGTACAACACCTGTGTCTTTTTGCAGTACCACATGCTAATAACTACATGTTCTAAATTCTCCCACCTGGGTTTCTAAGGTGATCTCAAAATAGGAGCCACCCAATGTTTCATAGATGGGAAGAAGAATTAAGAGAAAGATGAACTATAAGCAGATTTCGTGCTTTAAAGATTATTATCATTTATCAAGATGCAATTCATCATCTTCATTTGTCCTATTTTAGTAGCTTTCAAACAGAAAATGCAAAAAACATTCTGATGTGGTGACAATGCCACCTCAGGATTTAGAAAGGGTATTACTTTAAGTATGCAGGTGACATTGGCTTTCCACTTAACACGGTTTTTCAGATTTTTGTTGTGGTGGTTTTTGTTTGAAGTTGTTTTGTTTTGTTTTTAAAGTCCCTGAATAGAGGGCCCTTTCAGACAAGCTGCCTTACCATGCCACCACCTATCCAACTTACCCAAAAAGATGCCCGACATAAAAAGGTTAATAACTAAACCTGCATGCCAAGCACCTGTAAAGCTACCATGAGTGAAGGGAGCATCTGTTTCCAGATTCCTCATTCCACTTCTATGCCAGCTACACTGATCACTGCTGGCACCCAGGGTAGTAACCCTGACATTTCAACAAAAGACAAAGAAGCACAAACCTCAAGAGTTTCCAACAGAATGACTGAAGTAACAAGACTGCATTTAATTCTAACACAAAGAAAGAAGTGCCAAGAAGAACTGATTATTTTGCACTTGTTTTCTGGTCTTCGTATTTCTGTTTACAAAAGTTACAGTCAAATTCTAATGAGAAGCAAGGTCATTTGATAGGTATTAGCACAACCTTTAAAGAAAAAAAAGCACCAACTGCTTCTATATTCTGTGGCTCAGTTTTCCCAGTACTTTCTATCAAGGCTGATTAAAAATATTTTAGTTCATTAATTCAGAGAATCATCTAGGTTGGAAAAGACCTTAAAGATCACCTAGTCCAATCATTAACCTGACGTTGACAGTTCTCAGCTACAGACGTAACTAGTATTTTCTACCAGTGATTTAGTTCCTATCAGTACTTTCCTCTTTCTCTACAGTAATAGTGGAGACTGCTGTAACAGTGAGATCACAACATTTAAAAAAATGGAACTGTTCTCTGTCTCTCTAACCAGAGAGGATTGCTACAAGGAAGGCCTTCACAGAATACTTACTGGAGTTAAAGTCCCTAAAATAGCTTCAGCCACCTAATGTGCTGTAGAATTTCAAGTCACATTTCATGCTTTTATAGGTGCAAAGCACCTATAGACTCTGAAATGCAGAAACCACACAGAACGCAGAAACCAGCACAGAAGTAGCTAATTCATCCAGAAGGTGACTTACTAGGCTAAGTGCAGCACACATTCCTATTAAAAATGGATAGACTTGGTCTTAAATTAGAGTCACAGAGAGTGGAAGTTACCTTGCATGTTTTTCTTTCCAAATCAAATATTTAACAGAGGAAAACCACAGGTGTCACTGACAAGGAAAGATTAGTTGTGGCTTCAAACCTCACACATGGATTGAAAAGTAATAAGACATGCTCTGCTCACTAAGTGACCTTATAAGTGCATCATTTAGACTGATACATGTTGTCACAGAATTGGAAGCCTTTCATTTGTTTCCAAGAATCGGAATTTAATATTCTTTAAAAAAACAAAGTGGCCATTTCCCTGGTATCTACAGTGCCTGGCCTTAAAAAAGTGTTTACAACCTCAAGCCTTATATCATTTCATCTCAAGAGGCCCTACAACTACAGTCAGCTGAGTGGGTGGCAAGAGCAGAGGAACTAATGATAGCATCTGGGTGGGGCAGGAAAACAAAGGAGCTAACAGCTGTTAAAGAGTTTTGTTTGCTCAGTGCAAACTAACCTCCCATAAAAGACTACAAACATACCAGATCTTACTGAAGCATAGTTAAATCCAGAGCTCTGGTCTTCCTTTTAAAAAAGCCCCTTCAGCAAGAGAAAATTAAACCTAAGACCCAAACATGAAAGCAGCCTACTGGATTGTCACTCTTGCAACATGACACAGAGGGAAAAGGTGATTACTATGAGTCCTTCATTAGTGCTGTTAAGTAGCTGATTACAGACAAGTGCTCTGCCAGCAAACAGAATGCCGGAGGGAACGTTTATGGGTTCTCCCCTGTTGTGTTTGGAAGAGAACTCTTTCGCTTGCAGGCTTAGAGAAGGTTGCATTAACAGTCAGAATAGCGTGTGTTGTTAATTCACAGTTACTCAGTGAAAGCTCAACAGCTTCAGGATTGCGCTGCTCTGGCCTGATGTAGACTTGAATCCTTACCCTAGTTACTAGGCACAAGATTCTGAAAGTATGTGCTGTGTGCTTTATGTGACAAATAGCAGGTCTCTGACCTAAATTGGGAGAGCCTTTATGAAACAGGAAATGCAGGATGGGTTTGAAAGATACAGGCAAGCAAAAAACAACTAGTCTCTCTCAAAGTACATGTAACTTCACATGATTGGAGAGTACTTAAATACAACTTAAAAACTAAGCATATCAATTAAAAATCCTTGAAGAAACATGAAGCAAGAAAGCGTACAGAACAAGTGGCTCAGGAAATTTCCATTCTCCCTGCTAAGGACGTACAGTAGCTATCAAGTCCTCTTGTTCTAGACTATGCAATTTGTTGAAAATTAATTACTTCATTGAAGTACAAGAAATTTTTTAAAAGCTATTTGAACCGACTGGGAGTCTGTTCATGGAAGTTATTAATGTGTAGTTGTGGGACACACTGTTGCACTTTATCATTAACTTGCAAGAGGATTTCTATCTTGTAAACTGCAAAGAATACCTCATCTTCCAGACTCCACAGACTTTCACACGCTGTCAGCAATATTCCAAACATCTCTAGCTGCTGTCCCTCTCCAAACTGAATTTGAATCTTCAAGGTGAATAAGCACTGTCCTAGGAGAACACATTAAGTGAGAAGTGCTGAATGACAGACTTGTTCATTTAGACCCAGAGTTAACTTCTTGTCCGATTTATGTTTGGACCACAAATGCAGATCATGAGCCACATGTCTTAACAAATATTAACAATATTCAGCCTGCTCCCACAATTTAACCGTTTCTTTTCATTGCCACAGATCTTCCTCTCCCCACCCCACAGTGTGACCACTTTTGAGAAGTCCCTGCTTATTTTAAGCACACGCCTTATGATTCTGAATCATACTGAGAAAACTGTATAATAGAGGAAATCAAGCCTCCTAACTTTAGATTCTTGAATTCCATCCAAGTTAGGTGCCTAAAACAGTAAGTGTAACTATTTGTGTTCCTAGACATCCTGTTCTGGGATAATTTCATCAGAATGAAGGATGAGCTTTCGTAAGGATAAAAATATTCAACTATATGATGTGGTCTTGAATCTGGATTAAGGCTGACACGATACATAAAAGTTAATAGTTGCTAAGTAGTGAATCATTTTCATGAAGTGGTAAATCAGATGTTTTTTGATTAAAACAATACCACCACAACTCCTTTCTGATAGTCCTGGTGGACGACTGAATTGCTGCTTCTACAGTAGAGACAAGGCATATGCAAAGGGTGTACAGAAACTCCTGCCGTATGAGGCAGGGCCATTTAAGTTTTAACGTTCATTCCAAATCCCAGACAATTTTAACCAAGTGGTGGTTCTGATTTTTTAATTTCAAAGATTCTTAGTGTAAGTTCAGACTTTAGTTTTTTCACATGCTCATAAAGAAGCAGAAGAGGCCTTGCTTCTACATGTCAGGCTATTTTTTCAGAAGTGATAGTGGCTATAGAATTACCATCCTGAAGGTATAACAATCCAATTAGAATGAAATTAAAGGCTCCAGGTAATAATCACTACACTTGCAGTTAACAGATATAACTGAATCAAAAATAAAAACGTCCCATTCACTCTAATGAGAGCCCATGGCTCTACACATTCCAGTTTTATTCAGTGCATTACTGTGTTGGAACTTTTGCTTTAACCAGCTAATCATGGTTTCTCCTGCTTCTAATAGTAAGAATAAAAGCTACTCAAAGCTGTCATTGTTCCATATTCCAGAAAAGGCAGTTGCATAATTACTAATTACCTATCAGTGAGTCATATTTCTTGCAGAGCAGGGAAAGCCAAAGTGAATGTCAACGCTGCACTGAAGAAAAGTACTAAAGTAACATCGAGGAGGAAAGCATTTATGAATATTCTGAAAGTGGACCCAGGGTTAAATTTAGTTCAAGATGGGAGAGAAGTAGCTCACAGTTTGGTTAAGTAACCTTTAACTGCAGTCATCTGCAGAGAGAAAGCAGGACAGAGTTGTCTGAAGAAGCTCTGAAGAATACTCCAGAAGAGAGCAAGAAAACCTAGAATTTAAAGTGGTGAGACCTGTCATCCTTCGCTTCTAAATTTATGATGGTAGAGCACATATTAAAAATAAGAGCAGACAATTCATATCAGCTCCACTGGAACGATTTTAGGAGTTTCTAGAGGTTTACTCAAACACATAGTAAATGTCAACAGGCTAGACAAAATAAATTGCACATACTTCAGCACAAAAAGATTGACAAACAGCAAGAATACACTTTAAAGCAATCCACTTACATTTCTCCACAGTAGCCATTCTTCGGTGACTTCATTTCTGTTTTAATGTCTGCTCAGCAGATTGTGAAATATGTAAGAATATCATGAAAAGTTATACTTTCAGCTCTGTGCAGGGTACTTCTCGGATCCAAGCTACTTCTATAAACCTGTCCTTTGTTTTTGAACAATGTACGATGTGATACTGTACTATGAAGAAAGGGCAAAAGGTTTAACAGCATCAGACACATAAGGGGTAACATCTTAAAACTATTTTTGTTTCTTGCTTTCAATTTTGAATCAACTAAAGAGACCAACAAAAACGATCCGTATTTGCTAGTTTAAGTCAAAGTCAAGTAAAGGAAAGGTTATACTTTGAAGCTGGTAGACCCCAAATGACAGCTTACAGATGATGCATGATCTCTAGAACTGTGCTCTTGATAAAAGGAGAAGGAATCCATGAAACCTGAAGATTCCAAGAAATTAAAGGCTAAAACCCAAAAAACTAAGACATTCTGGTGATGTAGTAACTTAATGCTACCTTTTCCTTCTTCACCACAAAATGTAGATGCTCCAAATAGCTGTAATTGATTGCAATTCCTTGAAATGTTAATCCAAACGCTACTGCAAAAACCACAGTACCCTTTTAAACCATATGAGAAAGCACCCATCTTATTTACATAAATTTGAAACCAATACTATAAATGAACAGGCAAGGACAGCGCCAAGAAAACGAGCTGACACGCAAAAAAGTCACCATGCCCAAGTATACCTCACCGTGTGTTCTGATACCACCCCAAGAAGGTTCAGATGTGGGTGTTTTGGTTGGTTTTTTGTTTTGTGATTGTGAAAGTTTTTCTGTTTTGTTTTTTTACAATGCGGTATTAGTCATTAACTTGATTTTCTAAGTTTCTCACAAAGGAAAGAGCATGTTCGTGTACAGTAATATGGCACTTACACTATCCAGTTATTTTCCACAAATTAGGCTAGACATGCAAAAATACAATAAACACTAACAACACTTTCAAGGGATTTGTTTATTTTTGGTTTACAAACAAAGGCACCCAATATTTCTGTTTATGTCTTATAAAAGCTCACGGATTTAGCATTTGTTTCCAAACATCTGTTCCTACAGCAGAGAAAAACATTACAGGAAAATGTAAATTTTTTTCCTGGTCCCAAATTTAAACACCAGTAACTGTAAAGTGATCATGTTTCAGTCTGCTCTTCCTCCTATTTAACCAACTGGAATACCTCCTGTAACTTGCTTGTCAGTACAGTGAGTCTAGCTTACTCTATCAAAATATAGTTCTGGTATATTTTTGATCAACACCAGTTATGTGCAAACACTGGTATGAAGAGCCGCAAGAGAACAGGGTTCTGATATGGAAAAAAAAAAAACCAAAACAAAACAAACCAGTAGTTTCAGATAGATTTTCACAGACTGACCACAGGAAGTGACAAAACTAATGTAATAAACGTGACACCGAATCTATTGTCAGTTAAATAGGATGACTGATAAATTCGTGTAAGATACCAATAGTGCACAGAACCATGGTCTCCAAAGAGGGAAAATATCTGGGTTGCTAAATTGGCAAATGTTTAAAGAGTAGAGGTTGAATATCCCTATGTTTAAAGTAACTCCTTTTCTTCGTTATTTATTCAGAAGAATACATTTCTAAGCAGTGTTTCGGACCAGAAATAATCAGTTCATTGGCTTCATAGTTCTCAGCATTAAAAAAATCAACAGGACAAGTAGCATGTATAATTGTTAATAACAACCAAAATTCATAAGTGAATTGCTTCACAGAATCATTCTCAGAATATGATGTGTTTGTCTTTTGCAAACTTCAGCCACATGCCAACATGGGACAAGAGGTGTCACTGGACAGTAGGCACCTCTGAAAAAAAGTCTACAATGCAGGAATGCTTAAGCATACTTTCAGGTCTAGTAAGGTACTTGGGGAGGCAACAAAAAATGTGATACACCTCATGTGTTTGTTAAAGTGTATCATCTTCAATCACAGAAGCCATGATTTATTTTCAGCCAGTCAGAGGTCTCTCACACAAGGTGTGGTCCTAGACCATTTAGGCTTTTCATCCCTAGCTTTATATATACACAGGTAATTTTAAAAAGGAATTACAGCTTAACTACTTACTACAGAATATTTAGCTTCAACAAGGAAGCCATTACCTTTTCAAAATGAGATATACACCTGCACGAAAGGTGTCCTCTTTAAAGTAAGAGTTTTCACAAGAATAGCAAAATAAGTTCTTTACATACTTAATTCAAATAGGACAAAAAACTACCAAGGGCAAGTATAATGTAGCTCTTTTGTAAATAAGTCATTATTTGCCTTTCCAAGCAGATTCAAGAACATGTTCATCAGTATAAACTTTTAATGAACAAACACTGGGCAAGGGTGTTGGTCAGTGCATCACTTAGTGGAACATTACAGTGTTCTCAGAATTCCGTGCAAGCAAAATTTAAAGGGATCTTCGCGTATTACCTTAAACAAGGATTCAATCTTTCCTTACAGCTTGCTCTTTTTATAAATGTTTTCCCTACTGAAACAAAGTGCAGAGAAAACAGATTTCTTCAGATTTGAAGACAGATGTCAGAATAGTTAACATATTTTCATTTTGAAGCAAGGTGCATCTTGCTCTGCTTGCCCAGTGAAACGAGATTTTATTGGGTCAGGGATGAGAAAGTGTGCTTACACACTGGTGTTGCCCATGCATCAAATTTCATAGCTCAGAGATTTTAAAAAAATTATTAATTCATGAAGTATTTGATAACATCGCTTAGAATTTAAAACCAGGTATATCTCTTAATGAAAGCCTATAGTTTGTCCAGCTACTATTACCAGTAATATAAATAGCAACTAAGCATAATAAATTCCTTTCAAATACATTTACCTTTTGAAGTCAGAAGTGTATCAATCAAGTGCTGGCTCTGTGTTTGCAATAAACATCATTAAAAAAAAAGAGGATGGTCAGTGACTTTATTTCCTTTTATCTACTCAATCGCAGGATCAATTCTGCTTTCAGGGAAGCAAATGGTTCATGCTGACATAACTACAAGTTGGATGCAGCCAGTTTTGAGCACAGAACTGAATCACTAGGTGCATTCTGAAGACCAGATTGGACAAAAGGCCTTTCAGTAATTAAGGAAGGTTGGGTTGGGGTTTTTTTTTTTAATTTTAAAGCAAAGTAGGCACCATTGTTGCATCCCTACTTTCAGAAGAAGGGAAGAAGTGGCAAAAGGCAAAAAGTAAAGACAAATTACAAAAGTCCTCAAATAATTTTTTTCATGAGATCCACCATCATTTATACACTTTTGCAACTTGCAAAACCCTTTGTAATTTTGAAGAACTTCAAATAAATAGGTCTACAGCAACTAGCAGCTACTAAGAATATTTATCTTGCTCAACGTGGAGTAAAACTTAAAAGAAAAAATCATGTTAAGGCAGATTTCAATCAAACACGTTCCAAATTGCACAGTTATCTTGGTCAGTGGTCTAAAATGTTTTCCCCAGGTCAAAGAGTTAAAGTTATTTAAATACTTGTCTAATGCCAATTCAACCTGGCACTTGACCATTTTATTTTCTCTGTTTCCAGGAAGATACACAACTAACATTACATATACCATACCATATATTTCGCACTCCAATTTAAGATGAAATTATGCTTTTACAAAATGTGAGATGACTACATGTTACAGGCTTTGTGCAGTTAGACCACCATATGCATAGATGTCCTAATGCTAAATTCTCTTCTTCAGTATCTCATAGTACTGGAGGCTCTGAAGTAGGAGAGGAACTTGTAACACAGACTAACCACAAAGTACCAGATATTTCTTGCCATTTGTGATCTTGCAATAAAGATACGCCAGATCAGGATCACAAGAACTGTATTGAAGCCATAGCGTATATTCCTTAACCTAAAGAAAAACAAAAGAAATAATTAAAAGCCAAGGCAGCAAGACTTACAGGAAAAAAGAACACTCAAAATTAGCTTCTAATGTAGAACTTAGTTTGTTCATCTGTACATCTGAAGATACATTATGAGTGGTATGAAGTGAATGACAGAAGGAAGCTGATAAATGCACGACCACCCAGAGAAGGCTTTTCTGTAAGTTCACTGCTGAAAAGTGGAAGAGATGAAAATGAAGGAACAGCTAACCCCATGTAGTACTTCTGCTCTACAGCTGCTTGATAAAAACCTCTTAAAGCCAAGGTCACACACACACAGTAACAGGCTGCCATCCACCCCAAACTCAAGGAAATATTTAACACTATGAACTTCCCTCCTCCCCTCCATGTATTTAAAACTTAAAAAAAAATGTAGAAGTAACTCCAACTGCCACTGACCAAAAAAAAACCCCACAACATCATAGGATTTTTCAGTCACAGAGCCCAAAGTCTTCATTGCAATTTTAAACTCATTCCTTCTCAGGGAACTGTATTTAAAAATTAGGAGAAACTAAGTGTCCTTTTAGGGCAACTGTGACTTTGAGCAATATTCTCACATGTAAACATGGAAGCTTCAAGACAAAAATTGACTCAAATTTCTTAGAAACAGAGCAATCTCTTTGCTTCAGTATATCATGACAATTTGTGTTTTAAAGGCAGCTCTTTTTAAGGAAATATTCACTGCCCTTATCTTGTTTTACAGGTAGGCTGTGTGTTACTATAGCCAAACCTTCCTCTACATACATTATTTGTAGAAAAAAAGTCTGAATTTCTGTATTACAAAAGTAAAGCCCACTTAATATTAATACTTCAAAGTAAATACATGTTACAATCTAAACCTCTTGCAAAATAATCCACATATAAACTGAGAGCTGGGGGCAACCAGATGCTGTTCCAATATAAGACTATTTTTCATGCTAATTTTGGCAAGACCCTTTGTACAAAGAATGACAACTATATGATAACTCCTATACATTTTTTAATAGCATCTAAATTAAAGAAAATATCAGAAGGGGACACCTCTTCAGCTATCCCCACCATTATCACAGATTACCATCTTTCAGAAGTATATTTGAGATCGTAACATATCATGCAAATCCACTCTACAACTGTAAATCCTTGTCTTCAGAAGAATGACACAAGTCATGACCTAGGCCACTTCTCTTTGTGCTATCAGGACAGCAGATGTGAAATAGTATTGCAGAACAAGAAGATTAATCACTTATTTCACTCTTTAAAGAGACAAATCAATAAAGTCCACAACTGTCTTTATGAATCAGCCACGAACAAAACAAGGCAATGGTACGAGTAGAATTCTGGATAGTAACAGTGCATTCAAACTGGAGGAGGTAAGCCACAGATAAAAGGCTAAGAGAAGACATCTTAGAGCACCAACATCAAAGTTTCCTGCTCTGAGGTGGAGAGTCCATGCCTGTTTACTCGCCTGCTTCAAAAGACCACATTCCCAGAAGAAATAACTATTGTTTAATTAAACCTCCATAACTGTACGAGTCATTCTGACCTTGTGCTGCTGTGTACCTTTTTACCTTCCAAAAGATACCTGGGTAAAATCAGAAACCTGGATTACATTATACACTAGTGATCAGAGCTACAATCACAATCCCAGACTAATACCGTAAACTATGAATACCAAGAGCAACTCAGAAGCAACAAATAGAACAAGAAAGATGACATCTGATTTCTTCAGTAAATGCTTCAGACCACTGGACTGAAACAGAAGAATTCTAGAAGGGCTAAAGAGGTGCTATAAAGAACAACTAAGTCATAACATGGAAAAGCAGAACTTGACAAGGGCAGAAAACCACAGAAAATATAAACAGAGGAAAATAAAAATCTATACTTACTTATTCAAGTGTTTCCTAGCTGCAGGGAGGCCAGACATTTCTTCATTCAGCACATACTTCTTCGTTCCCATGCAGTAGTTTTCCATGTATTCTGCCCAATGCAGTTGTCGAACATCAAAATTAAATGTCTGCATAAAATAAAAGCTTTCAATGTTAGTTGCTTTAAAATTCACCTGTTATATATAGTAATTTAAAGAATAAATGCCATTATATAAGTCCAATTTGTCTTTGATGTAGTAAGTTATCATGTCCTTAATCGTAACAGCAATCCAGATTTAGATCCCATTTCTGACTCAACCACCAGCTTTTTATACCACCTTTTCCAAATTTCAACCATTTCATGCCTTATTTTTCCTCCTCCACACTAATATTCTTCCCTCCACTTCCAAGTGCACTGCTCCCTCATCTCATCTGGCTGTAAGGAATTCTACTCTAGAAATAACTATTTTCTATTATGTTGTTTCCTTTTAAGCAACAAAATAATTCTAACATGCTACAGAATAAACACTGCTTTCTGCCAAGTTGACTGTTTCATAAATACAGAGTTCTTTTAGCTGTGCTTAGAGTTGCACTGCTACATTTTAAAAAGAACTATGTAAATATATTCCTTAGGAGAGAAAGTTACTACAGTAAATTCACAACTCAAGTTTTTCACTGATATACTGATTTCCTCCTCTCACGATTCTACATTAACAGCCATTTAAGTCCTAGCAGGCTTTTAACTGGCTATTTTCTTTCAGGTAAACAATCATTATTGAAACAAGAGAAAAAGTTTTATGCAGTGAAAATGCACATGCAGGTAACCAAAATAGCTTTGGTCAACCCCAGTCACCAGGGTGAACCAGGCAGCCACATGCAGGTTGTATTGGGTTTGCCTGGCAAGGTTTTGATAGCAGACTGACTACACGGGTGGATTCTGTGAGAAGCTGCTAGAAACTTCCCCCATGTTCAACAGAGCCAATGCCAGCCTGCTCCAAGATGGACCCAGCCCTGGCGCAACAGCCACTGCTCTACTAGGATAATGTATTTAAGAAGGGGGTGGAAGCTGTACAGCAGCAACTGCCGCCGGGAGAGAGGAGTGAGAACGTGGGAGAGCAGCAGCTCCGCAGGCACCGAGGGCAGCGAGGCAGGAGGTGCCCGAGCAGGAGCAGAGGTTCCCCCACAGCCCCTGGGGCAGCCCCTGGGGGGGCAGCTGTGCCCTGCACCCAGGGAGCCCCACGGGGGAGCAGAGACCCACCTGCAGCCCAGGGGGACCCCACGCCGGAGCAGGGGGATGCCCCAAGGAGGCTGTGACCCTGCGGGAAGCCCGCGCTGAGCAGGCTCCTGCAGGAGCTGTGGCCCGTGGAGAGAGGAGCGCGGGCTGGAGCAGTGCAGGAAGAGCTGCACCCCCGGGAGGGACCCCGCTGGAGCAGGTCATGGAGGACTGTCTCCCGTGGGAGGGACCCACACTGGAGCAGGGCAAGAGTGTGAGGAGTCCTCCCCTGAGGAGGAAGGAGCGGCAGAAACAACGGGTGACGAACTGACTGCAACCTCCATACCTGCCCCACTGGAGGGGAGGAGGTAGAGAAAATCAGGAGTAAAGTTAAGCCCAGAAAGAAGGGAGTGGTGGGGAAAAGGTGTTTTAAGATGTGGTTTTATTTCTCATGATCCTACTCTGATTTGATTGGTAATAAATTAGTTGCCCGAGGTTAAGTCTCTTTCGCCTGTGCTGGTAACTGGTGAATGTCCTTACTTCAACCCAGGAGCCTTTTATTGTATTAACTCTCCCCTGACCAGTTGAGCAGGGGAGTGATAGAGCAGCTTTGGTGGGCACCTGACCCACCAGGGCCAACTCAACACACAGGTGTTTGTTAGTTTGAGATTGGTAAATGTAGCACAAAAGTAAGAGGCTCACACAGTCAACCTAACACAGTAGGAAAGACTAAAATTTTTCCTTTAAGCTCTTTCATTCACTTTTATTCAGACCCTGCACTCAACCTGGTTTTGCTCTTCAACAACCTTCATGACTTCTCTTGTCATTCTGCTTCAGTTACACTTTTCCCCCTGCACAGAGCAGTTTTAGTCACACAGCAAGAGTGTGCTTCCCAAAGAAGTGAGAGAATTGACACTTCCATTTCTGTGAATACACACGGCGTTCTGGCCAAAGCATGAAAAGGGGGGGGTGTGTGTGTATATATATATATATATATATAAAAAGTTGTTACTAGTCTAAAAGCAAGCAAGTCCATTGAAACCCACCTCATGTTCCTCAGAAAAGCAACAGTGGTCAAGAAGTAAAGCCTTGTTTTATTCATGATACAGGTAAAACCGTAACAGCTTGACCACTTGCCTGATACCTGGGTAACTCCAGATCACACGATCAGGCCACTCCAAAGACAAAGACAACCTCCTGCATCAGGCCTCCTTCAAGGGGGTCCTGCCCTTCCTCGTATCTGATCACATCACTGATCTGGCTTGGAACACAGCCCTGGCACAGCTGAAAGGATGTGACAGGGATCTGCAGCACCGAGTTAGTACCAGGGTTAGCTCCACATTCACTAAGTGGCATTACCAGCTCATGTCCTTATGCAATCTCAGAGAAATCGGCTTATGTTTCACTTTCACTCTCCAGGCCCACATCACACAGTTACTTGCCTTTTTGTCTTCAGGATTTAGCTGGTTCATTAGCATAGTCATATTTTCAGTATTCCAGATCCAAGAATTGCTTGTGAAGTATTCTAGTAACATCATGGCCTTATGAAGACGTGTTATTGTTTTCATCATCCTACAGTCCAAGGCATGGAACATACAGTTTACAGGTGGTAAAGATTAGTTCAAACAAGAAAATCACAGTAAGATTGTAAACGTTTTACCCTCCAACCCCACACCCCTATATTAACGTATCCCATCTTGCTCTGTATCCAAAGCATGTTATATTAGATCAATATGGTATTTCTGCATATTATTAAAGTGGACTTAGGCTGTCCAGTCTTTATATAGAGTCAAAAATTATAGGACAGTCCCTTTTTTCTAATCCTACTTCCCAGTGCAATAGTAAGTTTCTTCCCTAGAAAAAAAAAAAATAAAAAAAAATCAAGAGACAGTAAGATGTTGTCTTCTGTTGGTAACTCTTAGTTTAGGACGCAGAACACTTTTCACTTCAGCATACTAAAGCAGCTGTACTGAACAATCTGACTTGATGAAAGAGTCAAATTGCACAGTGCAGAACATATGCATATGACAACTTTAAGCAAAGGAGTCAGTTTCCCTGATCTTTCTGCACACTGTGACAAAACAAAATGGATTTATTATGGTCACTAAGAGATCAAGGCTTAAAAAACACCAGAAATAAGGCTTAGTCCCTTAACCCTACTGCTTCTGCAGCAGGCCAGGACAATATTTAAGGGCACAGACAGACCATAGCAGATCCTGCTAGTTAGGTGGTCAGTTCTATGCTATTTCAAAATATGCAGAAATACCTTCCATCATCCCTTATTATGCAGAGGAAGCAACTCCACAAAACCATCACTTGGAGTACAGAGAAATTATGTTATAAGGATCAATTCAGGCAAGTTTCGCTTTGATCAGACTATCTGAAGTGGACCCAAAAAACGTGAGTCATCCAGTCTCTCAGATGCAAAGCTCCCACATTTATGAGAAGAAAATTGTTTCAAGTGTTACAGTACTAGAGATGGTCATTCAATTTTAAAAAGTACTAACTAGTACCACATAACCTAATGCTATTAAATTCCTGCTTTGGGTGCTTGAGGTATTTCCATCTCACAGAACTGCTTCCAATTTGATCCTTATAGCAGGACACACTTATTTTAAGCACAGAGTGAGACCCAGGGGGGATGGGGGGGAAGGCAAAGAAAGCAGAACAACCCAGCACTAAACGGCTTTCTGAAGGTAACTTTTGTTCAATAAAGTTCATAGAAGCAATAAAAAACACTGATTTTTCTGAAAGCTGCCTCAATGCATTCAAACTTGTAGAAGGGATATAGCACATTATCCCAGAAACTCTTCTAAAGAAAGTATTCTGCATCGCGTTAGTGTCCCCTACTGTCACTATGGCTGGCATCTCAGTATCTAAGGGAGTATTGAAATTGCCTCTTTCTTCTCGTGAAATGGAGCAATACAAATTGCAGAGACCACTGAAAAAGTAAGAGTATCTCTAAAGCACAAAAAGCAGAAAGTTTCTTAAACCCCATAGGAACCTATCTACAGAATAATTCAGAGTTGTATTCAAATTTTAGATCGGCAGCTAATTTTATTAGTAGACATTTCCAGATGCTTTCAAACACCTGTTTATGGTTTCACCAACAGGGCAAGGTGGCAACAGGGGGAGCTGAGTTGAATCCTCTGATTCAAAAATAATTAGGAACATAGACTGTGCATCCAAAACATATCCTGTGCTAACAAGACTGAACTGAACATTAAAAAAAGCATATTACATAAGTCAAAAAATTCAGAAAAGAACTCGAAACTTGGAAAGCAAAGATCTTGCTGGTCAGATAAACTAGAAAGACCTCATAGTAAAATGTCCTGGAAAAAAAACAGTGCCAAAGAAGACACAGTGGCTAAGTGCTTAGACTTTCTGCAGAGGTCTGTCCACTGACAGACTGAAGATTAGTTGACTTGCTCTTTTGTGCCTCCCTGGTTTGTGTTCTTGTGCTAAGCTGGACGGGCAGCTGAGTTTAAAGTGCTTAGACTGCTACAGTTTAAGAAAATTTATATCCCTGCAAAATACTAAATAGTGCAAATGAGGATCTGATTAGAGAAGTGTAGATTTTGAGCTTGTTACTGGCCACCGGCATTGGTTTTGCTCTTTTCTATAAATAAAAACTGAATTCAAACTAATGTAAAGACTAACCTCTGCTGGGAATCTTGCTGTCTCTGCTTACGGATACGGGTTTTAAGCATAGCTAAGTCAATTTTTAATTTATTTTTAAAAATCAAGTGGCTAAAAAGAGCTCTACTTCAGCTGCAGATTTTCTCCCTCAAACTCAAACTGGCCACAGAACCAGCTGACTCAATTCATCAGTGGAAATTTATTTTTTTTAATTTGTAGGGTTAGTATCTTGATATATCAGCCAAAACAATCAAATGTCTCCACATTCTCTCAACTGCTGGATCAATTACAAAGTTGGCAGAAAAGGACCAACTTTCTTGGTGTCAGCTTGCTTGTTTGCACTAAATCAACATGAAACTACACTTTTTTTTTTTTTTTTTTTTTTGGAGAAGAAAAGTGTAGTGACAGCCTCTCATTCAGAGATGTCAGCAATGAGTGTCATTTAGTGGACACTTGTGTAGCTCTGGCAGAATAAGTTTTAGAACTTCAATGGCACCATATCCCTCCTGCAATGGGAATACACAGGATTCAAAAGAGAGCATGAATACACATAACGGAATTTTATCTCTCAGCCTGAAGTTTTGAAATACACGCTTCACAGGTTGTTCCAGAGATAGCTATTGGACACAAATTATAAATATCAAAGCCATATATAACCAGTCAGTATATTATTAAGCACTGCATCACACCTTCACAAGCTGAAGACAGAAAAACAGTCAGACCTGCTGATCATCACAAAGAACTGAACATTAGCAGCAGTCAGCAAGTCAGTGTGACAGCATGCAAGACTTTCACCCTAGATACTAGGCAGAATTTTGCCTCTACTAGGCAGTCCTTACTGCCATTAAGACAAAATACATTACAACAGTTTGAGAAGCACATCACAGGAATTAAAAGTTTTAAGCAATAGTTAATTCAATGATCGTAAGTTAGGTGGGCACGTTTCTATACCAGACAATTGACCTGGCTTAAGGCTATGACTGCATTTTGAGGAAGTCTTACACACAACCTATTGTCTCTAGGCTAAAAACGGTTCTGATGCTAAATACAGCCTGATCCTTCAGCCTACAGGCTGCCAATCTGCAAATCTCTGCATAAGCATTAGAGAGATTTTGTTGTTTTTTTTTTTTTAAAAAAAAAAGACTCCTCACATAAAACAAGCTTTCAGATTTGTCTTTGTTCAGATTTTCATGTGGCTGTAAATTTAGGTGTAAGACATACTACTGGAATTCTCATCTTTCCAGCAGCATACTTAAAAGTGCTTCCAAAAGGAAGAAAACATATTAATCTATTTAATACAAGTGTACTCTTTACTCCTTTCTGGTTTGTAAGACTACATGAAAGGTGCTTTATGTTAAGTTTTAAGAAGCTTTAAATTGAAATGATAAGATATGAAATTATGTCCTTTACACCTCTCTACATACACCAACCATACCCTCCCTTTAGCTTTCTAAGAGGCAGTAACAGAAAATTAATTGCTGGAGAAATCCCTGAATTACAACTTTGAACATTTCATGCCACATTCTGTTCTTCCAGAGTAATTGGAAAGATCTGCTAGGTGTGTATTTTAAAAGACTTTACGAGTTCAAATACACTGAATTGGTCTTAAATAACATGTGGTTCTGTTGTGCTAAGCACTATGCAAAGTTATAAGAGAGAACTGTGCCTTATATTAAAGTTAATTAGAGAATTAATAAGCTTTGCTATGCAACTAAGTATATATGGCAAGCTACTGACAACATTATCCTTAAACTTAGATGCTAAGGATTATCACCACTATAACTGCACAATGCTGTAACAGCCTTAAGTATTTAGTGTAAAATATTAAATCTTCATTATGCCTTATTGTACATGTTCTTTCTACAAAATTTGGAAGAAGTATTATATGCATTATTTTTTCGTTCCCTTTCCTTAACTGTTAATATTATGAGAGAACTGTTAAATTCAAGAACCTTCAACTAGATGCAGAAAGAGCAAAAATATTTCCATCTCACTAAAAACACTGGTTCCACAAGTGAGGTGCAAAAAATTATTTCATATTGCAGAAAGATTTCAACAGACAAGTTTTCAAAAAACCCTGAACAGCAAGTGGGGTTTTTTTATTATTATGAACACAATGCTTTAGTTCTGAAGGGTCATAGGCCTGATCTATTCCTCTACTTGTTAAAAAGTTCTCATTCAGTCGCAGTGCAATATCCTGACAGTGTGACAACAGTTGCAGTTAAACCTACACAGTAATTTCACTGCTTAGAGGTTTTCCTACGTTGTATGCAATTAAGACCTCAGAAGTCTATTCAGGCTCAGCACTGAGGGCAGACCATTAATCATAAGAAATCAAGTTAGCGTTGTATTTGAACGTTCTTGTGCTGATTTTACTACAGTTTTACTATGCTGCTCAAGTTTTTCTGCTAAATTGGAGTGGAAAAGGTCACGTTTTAGATTAAGCCAGCCCTTGTCCACTCAGAACAGCACTATATTAAGAATCTTCAATAATGTTTCCAAAGCTTTAGAAGTTTTCTAATACATGCTACCTGGCTATTAAAACCATTCTGTCAACTGGACAGAATGACCACAGCAACAGTAGTACATCCCTATACCATGACTGTCTCCAGCCCAACAGGTAAAGCAGATTTCAGAGTACTTCGAGCCAGAAGAGTAGAAAAAAGTGGAAGAGTAAAGATCTGTCTTAAATGTCTTCCATTGTTGAACAACACATGAAGCCTATTAGGATTTAACACTGCACGTCTTGCTTGCATCTGTGTATATATTTGCTTCTACTTCTCCTATGCTTAAAAAAAAAAAAGACAAGAGCACTACATTATGAAAGTGATATTCCTGTAAGTGGGCTGGGTATCAAAACATTTTCTTTCAAGTGCATTTGAGTAACCTTAGCGACTGAACAATAGCTTGGTTTAGTTGCATCTCCCATCTTTCCTCCAAACTGGAAATCTTGTGCATGACAGGAAACTCTCCCACCCACCATTATATTAAACTAATTATGAACACTCATATCAGTAATACTTCACAGGCTAGAAATTTAATGTCATCAATTGTAGTAGTACTAATTAACATTCTAAATTCCATCTTTCAGCATCAAGTAAGAACTCCGTGAAAAGCAAAACCAAGGTTCAACATCCCCAGTGTTAAAATATAAAAACTGCAAAGAATGTTCTAAACATGATTAGTCACAGTCTTGTTTTACTCCCACTGGTCAAATACTTAAAAGATTAGATGCCTTTTAAAGACTGACAAGATTCTAGCAGCACTACTTCCTAACCATTTGAAAGACAGTAGGTTGGCATTTATAGTATAACTATTTTTAGTGAGTGATGAAGTCTTCATATCTGAGAATTTCTACCAATTTTTATTAACAATAACTTAAAATTGCAAAAGAACCTAAAAGCCAGGAACTTGTACGTTCAATACCTTCTTTTGATCTGAAGAGCTTACATCTTTCTAATGTGGGAAGATTACTATACAGGCACAGCCTTCTGCCACTGCTGTTGCTGTATTACACTACTGAGTAGGCTTGGAACAACAGAACCCAAGGCAGTTTAGAAGCTCTCCTACAGACCACTTAACATGGCTTCCTTCTACTGATCCAGTGCCAAGTCTACCACAGAACTTTTCCTGTCCTTGTAAGACAGACCTAGACTACAGGACACTGAATGAATACTCACTTGTGTTAATACACTGTCACCACACTGGAGATTTTATAGAGTCTGAAGACAAATACTTTTGAAAACATAACATATGCAATAAGTTAAAATCATATGGCTTGTCAAATCTGAATCAAATTGAAGTGACATCTTATATTCTTTCTACATAATTTAGTTTAGCCTATTTAGCAGAGCTATGGCATTTCCACCACTTAAGGAGTTAACCAGATAATACTGTAAATATTATAAACTGAATGGAATGTTGAGATGATACAAACCAACATATCAGATCAAGTTGTATCATCAACAGGAATAACCCGCATTTAACACTTCTGTCTCCCATTCAATTTCCAGTTTATAATAGCAAAAATCTTAATGCAAGCCACTTCCCAGAGTTTAATGACTGACTAGTATTCTGATACAAGACGTATCTTGGACAGAATTGCTGAGCCAGTCGTTAATCTCTTCAAAACACAGTCACTGCATTGTTACTGCTTACAGTTAGTAAGTCTAAATAGTACCCATGCCATGTCTTCTTCACCATCTCCATCACCTTACCAGCAAGATATTTTTAGCCCTGTCCTTCTTACCATGGTTTATGACCTGTCAATCTGAGCAAAAGATCACACAAAAATGCAGGCATTGTATGGCTGACTGCAGTCCAATACTGATGCAAGAGGGGGTTAGATTGCAGACTACAGTTAGGGTGCCTTACTGCATTTTCTAACGGATTTATCTTGAAATTCAAATTAATGTGGTATCCTGTAGGAAAAAATAAGGATCAACATATTTTGAATATTTATTATTCAAGAGCAAACATCACTTGCTAGATCTTGTAATTCTGTTTACCTTGACTACTCAAACCCCCAAACTATCCAACAAAAACATCCTCATTTTTGCTAGAAAGTTCAAAGTCACTTTGAATTCAAGCACCTGTTCTCAGAAAAAAAAGGCTGAGTTTTAGTCTCAAAGCATTCAGAGGAAGAAAAAAAAATTTAAAAAATAATCAATATACATCATAGGGTAAGCATAGCTTTGGTTTAAAAGTCAGAGGAACAGATAAGACAGAGCTAGTCACCATTACCTTGGGCTTCTTCCAGTAATCCTGAGGTAGATATCATACAGGAATGCTGGGGCCTTATGGCTTACAGCAATCCAGTAATGATATAAAAGGTGATTGGAAGTTAGATTTACATTGGGCCGTCTGAAGGCCTGTTCGAGAGGATTCCTCTTGAAAGTAGAAATTACATGGTATTCTGAGAAAGAAAAGTTGCATAACAGCTTTGGTAATAACCATGTGAAATTTAATGGGTTTCAAAGTACATTACAGTGTATTTATGTCAGTACGTTATTTAAATAACCACCCTAACTCTTCTATAATCCACAGAAACTTAAACAAAGCCATAAGCTTTTAACTTAAAATACTGTTGAACTGGTTCTTATTGTAATCAAGAGGTCTTTTATGCCGTCATCTTCAGTATCATGTTATATTCTAGCTTCTCTCTTTCTGTTCCTCTTCCCTACCTTAGAAGTTGTTGGTTTCAAAAATTCACAGCAATTTCAGTTTATATAGCATGTAAAGCTATTTCAACAGTCATCTATATTTCATGAAGAAGGCTATTCTGATCTCTTGTGTGGAGAATAACTTAAAAACAGACTGAGGACTTTGCAAGCATCTGAAGCGCATTTCAAATGAAATTTTTAAACAACTTATCCATATTTAAGCATTAAGCAAAAAGCAATTAGGATGGGACTCCATGTGAAACTCCTGCTGACACCTGAAAATGCTGTACGTGACAGATATGCAGGATCAGTGTCTTAAAAAATTATGTTGAAATTTACCTCTCCTTTTAATCACCTCTTATAACGTTATACTGTGTTTATAGACAGTGTTTAAATATCCCCATACAAACTGGGATATAAATGAAGTCAGCAATTTCCCAAGTTTGGTTGAAGCAGTAAGATTTATAAATACAGATACATATAAAATGGGCAAAGGCAAGTAAAAAGTATGATGTAGTAAAGAGAAATACAATAGATTTAAGTATTGAAAGTTAACTGAAAGAAGAAAAATAAATCTTGAGTTTAAGAATTCTATTTCTAAAAAATTAAAAGCTAATAAACCATGCCAGCCAGCCTGTATTGCTATTTATAACAAAAACTATAACAGTTTTTGGCATGTGGGTTACATTCTAGTCAGGTGATCTCAAGAGTTGAAAATAGGTGGCCATACTTAAAGATTATTTTTCCCTGTACTTGAATAGTTGAAGTCTCACGTAGCTATGGGAAGATTAAAAAAAGCCACCTCAACCAACAATTAATTTAAGCCAATCACAACAAAGAGCTACACAAGTGCAAAACTATTATCATACCTCTCAATTATGCAGATGTACAAAATATCCAATTGTGGGCTGTTTATCCATATGTGTTTAGTGAGGTTGGCATGAAACCCAACATCACTACTGCTCCCCTGAGCAATGCTTTTCTCTGAACATTACCCACGCTCTGCAGATTAGGTCATGGCAGCAGCAAACAGAAAAATCAGTTCTCCCATCATTTAAGTTATAATGGAATAAAAAAAAAAAAAAAAAAAGGAAAAAAAAAAAAAAAAAAAAAAGGACAAAATTAAACTGTGGTGATGCTGCAAGGGAAGAGAATTAACAATGGAAGATAATGAAAAAGCACAATACACTGCAAAATTGAGAGGTATGGCTATTATACTAGTTTCAACACTAAAAATGTAATATGACCTACTGATTCTGGCCTGTGCTTTTACTATTTGGTCTTATTTTTCTACTAAAGCTTATGAAAGAAAGAAACACAGCATACCAACTTCACCCCAGTGGAAAGGATTGGTGCCACCTGTTGTACAGTTATATATCATTAAATTTCTTGGTCTGGGGAAGACAAAGACAAAAGAGCAAGTTAGAAGACAAACAGCCTTTTAAAAACACAGACAAAAGACATACACAAATTTATCCTTTCCCTCAACAGCATCATTTATATAAAGCAGAAAGCATCAGTCTCATGTTAGATTTTTGCTTTCTGTATCATCTTCCAGCATTCTTCTCCTTTAACTATCATATTTCTTTACTTTCAGAGAAGGCATCACCTACATTACTGTAGACTGCATTGACTAGAACAAGACCCAGGAAAGAATTCTGAGGCATAACTTGTACAACAGTATCAGTAGGTGATGTCTTCCTCTTTGGCATAAGGAAGTTATAATTTGAGGGACTGTCAGAACCTTAGATTCCTTTCTCCTGGGGGAATAGCAGGACACCAATTAGAAGTTCAACAGAAGACTGATTTGTTAAAATGCACAAGATAATTTCAAAACACTCAATACTCTCTACTGTCACCTGTTATACCTATTAACTCCGGAATACCAGGCTGCAGCCAGTGTTGTATTGACAACAACATCTACTGGAACAAGATCTGCTACTGCACTGTTGGAAGCCCTCATTGTTCGAAGAATTCCTTTTCCTGCCTTAAAGAACAAAACAACAACAAAAAGAGACAGAAGACCCACCAGTGAAAAAGATGAAGCTTTGTTGCCTTCCAAAAGGAAGGAAAAAAATTTAAGTATATCCATTACTTACAGCAATGAAGAGACCACTAGGTCCATTGAAGTTATCGATCCATCCCTATTGTGAACAGGGGGGAGGGAAAGGATTTGGTTAAGTCAGCAGTTTCAACTGAAATTCTGAAAATTTTCCACAAGTGTAAGGGGTGGAGGGAAAAATAATAAAGAGGAGAGAGCTATTAATTTCTTCCATGTCTGTAAATGAAATTCTTCCATAGCGAAGTCTGGTGATGTAACAAGTTGCTATGACTCAAACATGAGATCTACCTGCAGATTCACTGGTCCTTCCAAGTGAGATGCTAACTTGTTTCTTTCTTAGTGAATAACTGTGGGGCACTGTCTCTATAAGTATGTTTATGTTGAAAGTATTCAAGTTTGCAAGTATTTCTAGACTAGCTTCTAGCAACTCACAGAAGACAGATAACTTTGCTATTGATTATTAGTTTCTTCATTTTTCAAACAGAAGACATTCTTGCCCAACTTTCATGACGCTATTTAGACACTATATACTTAGACATGTACATTGTACATACTCAAAAAGGTACGCAAAGTCAACGATATGGATTTTAAGGGCTTGAAAGACATTGTATTGAACTAGAGAAGTTATTCCAACACCAGTCTCCCATACAGAAGGAAGCATATAGCATATACGCGCTATATATCAATATAGCATACAGTATAGCACAGAACTTAAGCCATCCCCTGCAAAGCTTATAGGGTTTGACTAGAAGAGCAGAGTCAAAACATATTATATCCTGCAGTCCCCAGTTTTCTTAGTCACCCCTTGCAGCTACTGACACACCAAAGTATCCTGAAGAGGGAAAAACAGATGAAGATACACAAAATCGTGAGGTTAAAAGCTGACAAATTGTGAAACAATATCTCCCATCGTGATGGGTATTGTTCTATGATTAGAAGTAATTTACCCCTAAATTTCACACGCAAGAATACTCTATTTGATGGCTTTTGTATCAGAGTTGTTATCCAGAAGCAACCGAGCCACAACCTCATAGCCTAAAAGATTTTCCTCTACGAAGGTCACTTGATAAACAGGCTGTCAGTATGCATTACAGTTTACAGGCAAGATGGTCAGGTGAAAACTCCGTGACTTACAGGAAAAGGCTCCTTCCAGCTAGCACCAACAATAGATGGCCTTATAATGGCTGTGTTTAATTTTGCACCTTCTTGTTGTACTACATATTCGGCTAAGGCTTTTGTATACGTGTAAGTATTAGGTCTGTCGCCTATCAGTTTAGGAGTAATATCATTCACTAGGCCATCATCCATCCACCTAAAGAAACAAAAGAAGAGGCAAGTGTAAATTACTGCATGCTGCTTCACTGGACCAGGGTTAGGGGTGGGGTGGGCGGGTGAAAGCACGTAAAGAGGATAACCAGATAAATCAAAAATACTGTGGAAAGTAAAATTAAAATCGAATCTCTTCTTCAAAACACCACCCAAGGCAAAATAACTCAATCAAAAAAAAACCACCGAAACCACCAAAGCATTAGCATTCCCCTAGAAGCTGCTTAAGCACAGAGAAACAAGAAACTCTGTGAAGAAATTTAGGCAATAATTAAAAACTCAGTTCTGTATTTCATGTTTCTGCAACAGCCCCAATATCTAACACTAGTACACTTCAAATCTCAGCTTAATTTTCAGGATTTAACACCAACTCCCACTGAAGTTAGCATGTCACATACTTCTTTCTACTTTAAACAGCTGGAAGTTGTAAAACATTTCCATGAACTTTTGCATAACAATCAATGTCTGCTGACAGTTTATACTGCACTTAACTTCAAAATCACATAACCTCCTAAAATACCATTCATCAAAATAGAAGTTAGGGGTTTTCACTTATCAAAATTGAAGGCCGATCCCAGAGGCCAGAAAATTCAAGTTTAGTAGAGCTTGCCTGTTAGTCATTTTAATTACACATCACTATTTAAGGTGGCAACTGCATATGTAGAACCCTTCCAAACAGGGATCTCAAGGAAGAATGTTATATTTGAGATCCTACAGCAGCAGTGTAGTTAGGCTGGTTTGCCTAAGAACATTACTAGCAACTGACAGAAGACTGTTTATAGTGACTTCATGCTCATTTAGTTTCAAATTAAACCATAAAACCTAAACATTTGACAGTAAATGCCAAGAACAACAAAAAATCATCTTTCACCAGAACATGTGCCCAGTTCCAAAAGTGATTTGAAACTATTTTATACGGGGTAGTGTAGAAAGCAAGTACATTTATGAACTTTGTTAAATATTAAATCTTTTTTTCTTTTGTTGTTTTCTCCTTTTAAAAAAAAAAAAAGCCATACAGACTGAAATGAAAACAAGTTCCTCAAGTAAGAGAGGAGGGTTGCACATTCAGCATCCACTGAAAAAAGTGTACTGCTATTTATCTTTTTGCCCAAGTAATTAATTTATTCCACACCAACTACAGAGCAAGTAATATATTCCTTTACAATAGTACTAATTCTATCAACTAAGATCTCAAACATGAAGTGCAGACATAGCACGTTAATCTTTGGGGGACAGGCACACTGCTCCTCAGTTAGATTAAATGACCCACAAATTGATGCCACTGCAAAGGCATTATGAGCATCACCTCCCCCTTTGTGGTGTCAAGTAATCACACACCACCCCTGAAGCAAGCTGGGTCACCATGTTTCTCCCCTTAATTTATTTAAGTCTTGCAATTTCATCTTGCTCCCCAATTCATTCAGCAGTTTATATCCAAACCTGTAATAACCTTCAGTCACAGCACACGGGCACAACAGACGTGCCTCTTGATCTGTTGCTACTTTGGTGTTCTCCACTTCAAAACAGGACTTGGATTTCGTTCGCCTCAGTCATCCAACTTCTTAGCCACATAAATAGAATTTAGCTAACATTTTTATTCACAATGTTCTGTTACAATCAAAGCCGATGTGCATCAGACTCATGATACGAACTGGAGTCGGAAGAGGGGTAGAAAAGTCCAGAAAGGGATACAAATCTGTTTCTGTATGTCTCAGCTGTTGGCTAGAGAGAGCACTCCTGCGTAAGTTCACAAAAGCCTCCCCTCACTGCCATGAGTTCTAAAATGCAGCCAGCTGTCCAAGCCCAGACCAAGCAGTTTATATCATATTTATCCTGCTTGCAAAAAGAAGAGACAAAAAATACGACTATTTCAGAATATCTTGTTTTAAAGATTATTTTAAGTTAACATTGTAAAAAAAAGTTGGCTCAGTGTGCATTCTAGGTAGCAATTCATTTGTTTTCAATGTTAGGGCTCTTTCATCTACAGTAACAAGTTAAAGATATTTAACTTTTTAATTAGTTATTTTTAGTTTCATACTTCTTTTACAAGAGGTGATATTTTTGTCTGACAGGGAAAAAGGAAGAAACTGATTTAGAGTTGAGATTATTATTTGTTATGTTACAGTTGACTTGGCCCATATTTGCCACCTGTTTCAGTCCGGGTTTGGCAGCTACTGACTAAGCCCTCAGGACAGCTAATACACACAGAACATAAAAAACAGAATGAGTAATTTCTTCCCCCCAGTAATGCCCATTTCAAGATTAAAAAAACTACAGATTTTTAATGTTTGCATTCTCTGAATACCTACAGAACTACTTCTACAGTTGTGTTTCTGAGCAGTTAAGTACTCTGATTTCAGTATCTCAGTCTGACCTCGCAATGGTGTTAGGTGGCTGTAGTGGAAGCTGCTGTTAAAGGGGACTGTCTCCTTCACAATGGCAGTGCTAGCACACTTGTAATAGCACAGCATTTATTTTTAATAGTTCCTGATTCAGCTCATCATACAGCCGAAAAACTGTCACTCTCAGCATACAGGAGGCCTCCTGAGTAGATAGGAGTACCCCTCTCCCTCAGCACCACTCCACACCCAGCTCTGCTGAAACAACCACAGAACCTGAACCCATCTCCTTTCCTGTAAAGAGAAGTGTCAGCCTTGCTGTCAGACTTACAGGACAGCATAAGCTCATTTCCTCATCTTTCAGGTTCCAAACCATATTTTGGTACTTCATTACTAGGAAGCAAGTGGTTACAGATTACTGAAGTAGCTTCATAAAACGTAACACATACTCAAGAGAATCTATCAGTTTCCTGGGATCAACAGGAGGTGGATAAACTACTTCCTCAATCTGCTTTCGATTGCAATATGCATAGGCAGTCGAGACGTGCATGAACACTTCCAGATTCTTCATTCGCTGTGCCAAGAAGAGGAGCTGTTGTGTGGCAGTCACATTTAACTGAACAGCATCTCTGTTGATGAAACAGATTTGATTAGCAGAAAGCAAGACAGAAACAAGCAAAAAGAAAAAACTGGTCAAGCCACTCCCAAATGCCTCAGTGATGGGTATATAAACTATTCCTAAATACTCCACCCTTCTCAAAAAAGCAGCATGGACACCATCATAACTTTCTGCTTTGTATGCCCCAGTCTTAATCTAGAACATCTCTCAATGTTCAGGATAATTTTCTTAAGTTTTACTCTGTTCTTATTGTCATTCTCATGCTCCATTACTAGAGTGGGAAAGTCAGTATACGTTTGATCTCCTCAAGCTAAATTCCAATCCTACATTTTTCATAAAATGTGAAGAAAAAAATGCAACACAACACCCAGCTGCCACATGAGATGCACCTCTGAACTTCCTAGTTCCACTTGAGGTAGATCAACAACTCAGAAGGCCTAGAGGGCTAATGAGTTGGAGACTGACATCTTCCTGTAGGAAAGCACAACAGGATTTCACAAAGGAAGAGGGGGGAAAAAAAAAAAAAACAAAAGAGAGAAGGAAAACCACCAAAGACCACACTTTCATCCTAAAACTTCACTGCTGCTCATTGGAATAGTCCTTAAGGACACTATAGGAGAGCGGGTATGCCTACAATTCCAATCAGAACACAACTTACTCATCAACTACTCTGATTATTTTATATAATTCAGATATTCTTTCCAGCCTACAAAATTTACTACGGGCACTAGTTTTCTTGCACACAGCACACCAATCAACAGTTTCAATACAGCTAAATATTTATCAAAGTCTTTAATGCAAAAAAAAATGTTATATTATTAAAGAAAAAAATCTTAGTTCCCCCAAATAAGCACTAAGCTTAAAACTTCTTTATCACACATTATTACTGAAGCATTGGGCAGGCGGGAGAGGGGGACCACTATCCTAAAGCAATGAACATAACTGGAAAATGTTACTTTTGAATAAATTTGGATTGGGGTTTTTTTTAGATAAAAGAATTCTCAGTCTTCACTATCTCTTTCAAGAAGTCAAAGGAAGGAATTAGAGTTGTACGCACCACTTTAAGATACAAGTGTATAGCAAGTAAAAATTAAGGAGAGTTCAAAAATAAGTGCAAGTATTTTGCTTTCTTGACTGTATTCCTACCACTGGCCCCAAGTCAAGTATTTTAAACTTCACATTAGTTATTCCTGTTAAGTATCTGATAAAGGCTGCTCTAGGTGGTCTTCAGATTTGTAAGGTTCCTCTAACCATTCCAGCACATCTGTTAGGAAAGAGCTGACACCAGAGCACCTAAGAAATGCTCATATTTTCTATTTTGCTAAACAGCATACTGGGCCCACCAAGAAAGCAGAAGCTGCCAGTGGCTTTTCCTACCAAGATGCCATTCCAGACTCTCAAATTGCTTTAAAAATCCCTCTTGGCTTTGATCAGGTTGGCAGTTCCTTAACATTTCAAGACCCTACATGATAAACACAGGCTACCTTATGACATTTCAGCATACAATATAGCGTTCTTAGACAGTGCCAGCTTTTGTAACAAATCAAAGAAAATAAAGAGTTGAGAAGTTGTTTTATCTCAAAGTTGCTTTACTTCCCCCTCCCAAAATACGTGTGCTATTTCTCACAAAGTCATTTACCCAAATTGCATATTTATTCCAGTATTTTGACAGTAAATCAAGTTGTTTTTGCCAAAAACCAAACAAAATCTTTTCTTGCTTCTGGTATTCTTTTCTCTAGTATTTCCATAATAGATTTTCTGTACAACATGGAAGTTTTCAACTCTTAGCTTTCACCTTTCTCCCTGTGCATCTACTTCTCCCTCTTCCCTCCAATGCAAACCTCTATTCTTAATGAAAGACTTGCTGAATACAGGGAGAAAGCTGAGCCTTTCCAGCCAAACTAAAGGAATAGTTTGTGTTGCCTTTTACACACTAGGAAAAAAGCTCTAATATTACTCGTGCACACAATGCATATAGCTACAGCTTATTTTATCCTTCCTACCCATCCCAGATACCAGAGCCACGCATGATGTTAGGAAGATTCAGAATAGTTACATGTTCCCTTGTCCCTTCAACAGTTTCCCTTCAAGATGACTTTGAAATTCAGGCAGAGGGATTTAGTCAAAAACAAAAACAACAAAAAAACCCCACAACCAAACACACACACACAAAACCTAAGGGGCCTATAGCAAAACTACAAGAATAACTTATTTAGTTTCTAAGTACTAATAATGTATTTGTCTTTTTGCCTAAAGCTTTAAAAAGAGATCAACTTTTCCACGTCAAATACTGTAATAACAACCTCTGGCAAAGCAGGTCTAAACACTGTGCCTCCGTCTTCCTAAGAAGAGCAAAGGAAAACCCAACAGCTTAAGATGAGTCTGGGGGAAAAGATCATTACCTTAAGGGTCACCGAAGAGACCACTGTTAGAGTACATGAAGTAGCCTGACAAGCTGAATATTTGCAAGATTGCGCCAAGACCCGATTTACCCTCTCCCTTTCAGTAACATTGGCTTACCAGATCAGAGTATACAGAATTTTAGACTCACCTCAATGTTTCATTGAATCTGACTGTAGCAGCACAATGAAATATAATATTAATGCATTCTATAAGCTTTTCCTTGATTGGTTCACTAAGGTCCAGTTCAGGCTGTGTAAGCTCACTCGTAATCACTATTATTTTGGCTCTGAAGTCTGGTTGCTCGTCTCTCAACCTGTCAAAGAGCTGTCAAAGAAACAGGACTAAAAATTCAAACTAATAGCCAGTGAAGATAAGAGATACAGATTTCATTTAAGTGAAGAAAACCCCCACATCTTCTGTCTAGACAGAGTTATACCTCCTTACCTCTCAAGATCATCAGTAAGAAAAGTGTGTTAGGAATATTATAGCAACATGTTACTGACTTCCCGTGAACATACTCAGTGACAAAGCTGTGCCAATTTATCCCACACAGTGAAAGCAGTATTACATGTGTTGTACAGAAGGTAATAAGGCTTCAATTTGAATTTAATTTTTTTTAATACTCATCCCTGTCCTTAAAACTAGATCTCTATCAATATTAGAAGAAGGAATGATCTCTGTTAAGACACCAGGACTCAAAGAAATTTTAAGTTGCAGTCTAAATACTGTAATCCCTTTTCTTTCAACAGAAGGAAAGGAAGAAGTCTGCCCACTTCCCAAGCTTGATAATAACTATTCAAAGTCTTAAAGACTTGCACAAGTCATACTGGGTTTTAGGTTTAAAAAGCTTTCATCAAGCTTTAAAAAACTTCCAGTGATTTAAGAAATGTTACCCTGGTATTATGCCAGTTTTGGGGAACTTCCAGGTTATAAAAAGAATCATTTCTCTGGCTAGTTAAAAGAAAAAAGGAAGGGTTCAAGGCTGCATACCATGCTGGAACATCCGATCAAGCCTTATCAAATTGGTGATCAACAATTCTCACGGAAAAAAAATCTCACCTGTATTATATTCCATCATATATTCTCTTCATAATTAACTATGTGGCTTAATGCGGATAAAAATTTTTGCCTCATCTTATTTACACTCATTAATATGCAAGTTTTCCCGAGCAGAAGAGTACCATGGGAATAAAACACACTTGAAAATTTCACCAGAGCAGATCCCTCTTCTTAATTGTACAGGGGCCAATACCTTAGCTACCACTTCAACACAAGTAGATTAAAATGTATTAAAATCGCAGCAGTACTTTTTTTTCCTGCCTCCAAGCATGCAATTATACCAAAGGCAAATAGTTAAAAGACATTTCCTTACAGACTGAAGTTAATTCATTTTCAACTATAAATTAAAGCCACCTAAAGGTGCAGTTTTGTGACACGTAAGGCAGCGTAAGTTTGTCCTGCTACCAAACAGACTGTCTGACCATGTGATGAAGAGAGAACAAACATCCGGGCCCATCTACATCTCTGCATAGACGTGCAACACCATCCCTTTATGTTCTCACTCTAGGCACTAAGACGTAGGACTACCTCAGGCCGTAGCCCTGCTTACCAGGACTTGTTGTGAACCTGTTCCAGCAGTAAGTGCTCACCGAGACTCATAAATCACATCAGATTGTTATCAGGAGTTGGTACAGACTATAACCAGAAGATTTGGACTCAAACTTAACAGCCTTTTACAACACTGAGTTTCCCAAAAGCGATACTGAGGCTGAAATTTTACTGAAGTTTAAGTCAGCCTACACTACTGCCACTCTCCTCCCTGTCTTAATATCCCCCACTTTTCACTTGGGTAACAGTGCACACAGAAAGGGGATTGAGAAACTTTGCCTTTCGAGAGTTCAGTCTGGAGACCTTTTCCTTGTTCCAGGGAGTGACAAGCCAAGGGTTTCATGTAGACAGAATTTGTGACAATTTTAAGACAGAACCCCACTGTCACTCATTCTGTTGTGCTCTATCACATTGCATGGGACTGCTAGCAGATGCTTTTGAGCCATGAGCTACCATTTTGACACACAGTTACAGAGAATAACTTACTAAGGACCCCGCTACCCTCATGGCTGCTGTAATCTTAACTAGGCAGAGTCACAGAAATACACTGCCTGTCTTTAAGCAACTTACCCCTCCTAGTCTAAATGCATTCATACTTTCTTACTGATTCCCTTTTAGTACCTTCCAAACACACACTTTTTAGAGACTACATTGCATCTCAACATATTTCCTAAGCCTGAGAAATTAAACTACGTACTCCCATGTCCCATAAAAGAAAGACCTGGATAGAAATAAAACAAACTCTGCTTCAGACAAAGTTCATGCTAGAAATCTCTCCCCTTGCTGTTCACCCTTCTCATCACAAACAGGATACTCAGTAGTAGAGGGATGGGCAACACCAATGGATGGTTCTGCATACAGTAAGAACGCCCAGCCTAGCTCACCAGAATATTAAGGCAATGAGTCTTTTCAGGAGGAAAGCATCCCACCCAGCATGCATAGAAAATAATTTAGATATCCACCATGATAATTTCACAGCACAGAAGGAGTGCCTTTCCTGTGCTGTCACATGTTATAGCAATCTGTATGACTAACAGAAATTCACAATAGAATCTATTAAGACAAACATTTCTCCTCTGTTTACAAATATAAGCTATTTAAACAACCTGTTGAGACCACATACTCTTGCTAACTGGTAGATCCAATAGCACATTCAAGAAAAAGGAAGCACTAAGCCTCATTTTACAGAAAAGAAAATAATGCACAAGGAGAAAAAGTGACTTGCTCGAGAGATCTTAAGAAGGGTCTCAATCCCATTTTAGAGCTCCCAGTCCACACTGCCTCTTGATTATGTATTCTCTTAAATTTCAACTCAGATGTTTTACTTCTCAATTCTGGATTACAGCTGAACATCCTCCTGAATTAAATAAATTTCTACTACTGTCTTTGCTAGAGACTAACAGCCTGAAAACCAGCTATAGAAGCTCTGCCAGGTCTTGGATTTTATGTTTGTTAGAACAAAAAAACGTTTAACAACAATATTTTGCTTTAGACAAACCAAAGTTGTTCTTAAAATGAAATGGGAACATTATAAAGAAGGCCAAACATGTACTTTGTGAGCATGTGACACATACCTTACAGCTGGTAATTTCTTCTATTCGTGCTTCAGGTGTCTGCCCTGCTTTGTGTCTTACCAGTACATACACTGCTTTCACTTTAGGACAAGATCTGAGCAGCTTTTCCAGAAGCACTTTTCCCATGAAGCCTGTAGCTCCTGTCAGGAGGATGTTCTTTCCTTCATAGTATTCAGGGATGGAAACCATTATGACCTTAACAAAAGTTAAAAACAAAAGTGTATTAAATAACTTCTAGGAGTTCAGATGTGCTGAAGATCTACATAAACAGCACAGATGCAAACACTCAATCTCATACCAAAAAGAAATACTTTTAGCAGCCATTTTTTAAATGTATAACCAGGACTTTAATTTGTCTTTTACCACCACATTCCAAAAGAGTACCACAAGGTCACTACAGTCATTCCAGATCTTCTTGTAAACTGTTCCTGTTAACAGCATCTTAAGGAATTAGATACCACGCAGTCTAGGAAAATAGCTCAACTTCAGCCTATTTTTACCTCTATGTGCACGGTCCTTTACCACTCTAAGTGGCTGTTCCATGTAAACTAAATGTCATATCATTAAAATATAATCACAAGTAGATACTTCAAATACACTGACAGAAGACAGGGAGCCAGGCATCTGCCAATTGCTGGCCTTGGTATTTTGCCTGTGTCAGCGAAGTCCCCTGTCAGTGTTAGGCTGAGCCTTCCCACAGATTACACTAAACCAGAGAGAAGGTATAGTTAGTTGCTTGGTAGGAGATCTGCTGGTTTTCTATTGATTACAAAAAACCCACACAGTACCACAGATACAGGTTTCCAACTTTTTCATCAATCAAGTCTGTCAGGTTTTTTCCCTCTGAATAAGTGATTACAGTTCTCACACAACCTTAATAGTTGAGTTAGCCACAAACACACCTCCTAATAAAATGAAGGGCAAGGGATTGTTACTTAAAACCAGCACAAAGCTCAAAAATGTTGCAAGTTTTGCTTCAGTTCAGAAGTTAACTCTGAGAATTATTTTTTTCTCCTCCCTTAATCACCCACTTGGAAATTATGGCTAATCCTAGATACTGAAAACTAAAAGACCTTCCAAGGAGAAATATACTGCTATCTCTCACACGAACGTTGGACCACGACCTTTATGACCCTTAGAACTCAATCTCTGCCTCAGGCTAATCACAAGCCATCCTGTTAAGTCTGATGTATCAGTGTATTTACTGTAACCTTTAAACGGCTTCCTTTTACTGTAGAAGACTGTAGCATATGGATACACTTCCACCATGTTTTACCCATCTTTCTAATTGCACTTATAAAATAACAAGCTGAAGCAGTAAAAGTCTAGTTGTAGTCTCCTACAGCAGATCCAAACATAAATCATTATGACCAAAACACTATCAAATGGGATAGATTCCATAAAACCAAACTAAAAAAACTAACAGAAACAGCCTCTTTAAACAGTGACGGAGTGTTTCTTAAGTAAGAATTACAACACTGAACATCTAAACAGGGTGAGAGCCTCTCTTCACCTACCATCCAAGAATAAAAGGAATGCAACTTCTAAATATACTTAATTCTTCTGAAACAACAAGCTACTGCAAGCAGGAACTTATCAAGGAATACCCAAGATGTTGGATGTTAGGAGTGAACAACTGCAGGCTTAATCTGCACCTTCTGCCCCTAGAGTAAGGAAATATTTTTTTAATGCTTGTCTATATCTCAGTACCTGGCATATTAAAGCAATTGTGCTGTGCTTTTCCTGTGCTCGTATCGTGACAAAGCCTCTGAATGAGGTCTAAGTGATTACTTGCCAGAAATGAGTTATCACCTGCACAAGCCCCAGTTTCAGGAGTCTGGGTACAAAGTCTTACGTTTTTTGGTCCAACACTCCAAATCTGATTTTGACTCCCTTCTTTGACAAGGTTAGCTCCTGCATTTATTAGTGAAACATCTAAAAACTGATAATGGCATACAGTAGCAAGTTTAGAACAGAACAAGCACTACTATTTCCATTGGCCACTGTACACCATCCAAATTGCTTCTTTGAGGGCTGATGAGACTGAAAGCGGTGTATGGAGGGAGAAAGCTATTTACATTAAACCACTTCTGCCACACATATAAAGAGATTTTAACGCCAATTTCAAAGCACACCTCCTGCAATAAAGCCTGGAGAGTAAGATACAGCATGGTTGAGTCGTTTTTTCCTGTTCAAAGTAAGATACGGGCCTGTTGTCTTCACTGTGGCTCTTTAAGTCACAATTAATGCTCTCTGCTATTCAGATCTGTCCTCCCCATAACTTCCAACTTCCTTGTCTTTGCACACACTATTAAACTCCATTTCCTCCTAAAAATCCACACGCTTGCTCCCCCATACAGGATAAGCCTTCTGTTCCCTTAAAGAGGGAAGAGAAAATTCATGCAATCGTTACCGTAAGAATTTTGTCAAAGATTCAGTTTTCTTATGGTTCATACATAATCTTGTTACTAAATTCCCAATCTAGCCAGAATTCATATTTTTTAACCCTTAAGACTCTATGACAGTACTTTAATACCATCGGCCCACTTGCCCTTCCTCAAAGGAAGGCTTAATACTACTTCTGACATAATGCTGTATCCTCAGTCTGCAAACGTTCACATGGGCAGAGACAGTCTTTTGCTACATAAACACAGGAACCTTGCTACAACACCCAGTACATGGGCTACAGTCCAACATCTATTTCTAAAAGCTGAAACAATGAAAAAAAAGTTATGCTGACAGTGGAAATATCTGTGTAGCTATGGTCCAGCTTTTTAGCTAACTGAAAAATCTGACAATGTTTAGGGTCATACGATGTAAAGAAAACTAGATGCCAGAATAGATCAGAAAGTTTCCTGCCTCAGTTATTACCGACCTACTTTTTTGAGTAAGAGGTTGATATCAGATCAAAAATAATTATACTATTGTCCTGAAACACTTACAGAATACCAAACCTACAAAACATCTAGATCCAAAGCTATGATTAAGCATAATGATGAAATGGGTTCAGTTAAAACAACACTAACATACGTACGTTCATACTTCAGAGACAGCAACACTTACATGTATGCAGCCTAATTTTTTTTTTTTAAGGACACAAATGTTTCCTTTAAGAAACCATTCCCCTTTGCTCTCTGACAACTAGCATCTGGTAGACTTTGTTCATAGCAAATTTTCCACCCTAAGTTTGTCTTCTATTTCTATTCCTCTGGAAGATTCCAGCTAGAAAACAGAACTGGTGACCTTTTCAGAAGTACACATTGCTGCCAAAGTTACAGCAGTAAACACCAGGATCGTGAGAGAACTGTCTACAAGCACCAAATTTGATTTAAGGGTAGAAACCATGTATGGAATCTAGATGTGAATCAACAGTTTTGCCCCACTAGAGAGAAAGGTTATCTCAACCAGAGGAAAGGGAAAGAATGTTCCCGTTCTCCACCTACCTTTCCCCACCTTCTCTGAGAAAGCATCAGTCAGTCAGCATAGCATAGCTGGCAACTCCTAATTTCAAGCTCAGAAGGAACTTCTCTCACAGGTATACTACCTCTGTTGCCTTTTAAAGTTCTTTACAGCAGCAAATTACTGAAGAACTACATGACAATTGGGGTTTAAAAAAAACCCAAAAAACAACACAGTTAAGAAATAGACGCAGTTCCCAGTGGAAACTTAGTTTAACCTCCAACACATACCAGGCTTAGCCTAACACCTCTAACACATAACAGGCTGTAGTACATCCAGAATAATATTCCTACCTTGCAAGACAACACAGCAAAATCAAATTTAGCATTTTAAAGTTGATATTTAAGTGTCACAAATTGTTTTATCTAGTTTTAGAGTCTAACTTGTATGTTTGCAATAGCTGAATTGTAGCCGTTAACCAGCAATACATATTTTCTCCAGTTATCCAATGACTTGTTAACAGCTACCTCTTCAAACACACAGACAGATAACTCCTATCAAACACAAAATTGTCTAAAGCACACTTTGGAATATCTGAATCCCTATCTCACAGCTACTTTTTTGAGCTAATAAGTAATAACATTCAAGAAAAAAAGAAATCTGATGCTAGGCTACTTCCGAATTCACAAGTTAGGGGCTAAACCAATGGTGACATTTTGAAAATACTGCTTATTTGAAGGGTGCTTTCCTTTGATAAATAAGAGCTCCTAAACACTTCAGTAAAAAAAACCCGCAAGCAAGGATCCTAACCAGAATTCCCCATCTTGTAAAAAATTGCAGTGTTCAAGGCTGAGCAAGTGCTATTATGGAGCAAACAACAGCAGCTCTGTTTGTCTTCAGAGCTACTGCAGCAATATTTAACTCATTGCTTCAGACAGAAGTCTCTGACTCTCAAAACAAAGACAATTCTGTTTCTAACAGGAAAAAGATCAATTCTCATGTTTGTCCAAACACAGATCAAGATGCTTAAAGATTTACTTTCCAAGTGCCAGGAAAGCCTGCTGCAGTTTCACTGAATGTTTAAATGCTAAACCCAGGAACTAGAAAGAGTGTACATGTATGTCCTTGATCGAGATTAAATGGTCTGTTTTCTAGTTTATCACTGACAAACATTAGGTCAACAACATGCTCCCTCCAAATTCAATCATACTGAGATTATCACTCACAGGAAATAGAAAACATGTATTTCCCAATCTCTCAAGCATCAGCAACAAGCCACAAAGTTCTGCAAAAATACAGCCTGACAAACCCATTTCCCCCTTTCCCTCTGACAGCTTGAGCCTAGTACTAGAAGCAGTACAACAGGGAAAGGTCTAAAAGTAACGTGGAAGAAACATTTGGTGTATATTCAGGAGATGAAGTCTATCTAAACATCAAATCTGAATGTACCAAATATTTTTAAACACCACACATGCATCCACACCACACAAAAATCATTACAGAAGTCCCTCAAATAGAGCTTCAACTGTCACATTTCAAGGACACCACAGCAAGAAAAAAAAAAAAAGAAAAAAAGAAAAATCTAAGAACTGGAGAGACTGGAGAGATTCAGGCAACAAAGGAATAAATATTTAACTCATCTAAACAAGGTTACTGCCAGAAAGACGAGCCTGGGTCATTTCATTTGGTGCCTTGTTTCCACAAAAGCATATCAATGAACGCTATCAGCAGAATGTCCACATTTTCAACGACCACAAGGGTCAATGATCCGCCCTATTTGGACAATATCTATC